TCTCTCTCTCTCTCTCGCTTTTACCGCTACTTCATCCTCTCATACCCCAGCTTTCTAATCTATGTCCCTCTTTCTTCATAATTCTGGCTGTACTTTCTTTTCTTTTTTTTCATTTATCTGTCTTTTATAATTATATAAATACCAATATCTATATGAAAAACTGATTATTTTTACTAACTGCATTTTCATCTTTCCTCCCACAGAACTATCTTGGACCACAGTTTCTCGAAGACCTTGCTCGAAGTGACGCAAAACAACGTGAAAACTGAAGACTAACAACAATAGTCTCATTTCTATTACACTTTATAAACGGTGTAGCATAGATTACTATTAAAACGTGTTTAATTTGTCTTTTGTCTAGTTCGGAGTGAGTAAACACTGCAGACAGGAATCCTCAAAGAAATAAAGTGTGCGAATTTGTATATTTTTAACGCCTCTGGCAGCACTGGCAGATTATTTAAGAGTCGGGACCTTCGAAATTAACCACCATCTCCGATAGGACCATCTTTCTTTCCCATCAAAGATCTTGTTCATTCTCTTCTTTCTTTTATTTGTATCATCTTCGGCACTTATATGACGTATTTGTGTTGCAGGTGCCGTAAAACTAAAACAGGTAAAACGAAAATTTAAAAAGTGTAAAGCGCATTTCAAAGGATACATCGCTGGACCGAGCTATGTGTCAAATGTGTAACAATGCGGTGGAATCGGGTGCTCGTCAATTTTAGGGCATACAGAGTTATCACTTTTTAAAGCTTGTTCATTTGACTTGCTTTTGGCGAAAGTAATACCCATCTATCTTGAATAGAAGCCAAGATTTTTGCGTTCGAAGCAGGTGGGGTCGCCTGGTGTGAGGGTTAAAACTAAGGAAGGGTTGCCAAAGTTTGAATATATTCAAAGCTTGGGTGTTCTTGGAAACTGGAAAATTACGTTTTCTGTGCGTTTGATCGACTTTTTTTCTGTAGCATCCACACAGAAATGTGCTTTTAAATGGGTATTAAAGGTGTTGAGCCCCCCCCCTCCCAAAGAGTTTTTAAAATGCCAAATTCTTCGATTTCATTATTTTAACGAGCGCCTGATTTCACCACGATACTTCACATATCCCCGAACCCGCAATCTCACGATTACGAGTCTGGTAGCGTAACCGACGACTATCCTCAAAGAAATCATTATGTTTTAATTCTAGGTATTTCTCATTGACGGTTCGGTAGTGTCCTATACATTATTTGACTAGATCTACCTGTCGATATATATTGTTCGAGTGCAAAAAGGGTTTCGACTTATCAATCAATAACAGGTTAATTTTCTAAATTAGCATTAGACAATAGCCGTACAACACATGAAAGAATAATTGTCATTGCTTTTGCTGCATAGGGGATCATTCTTTCTTCGATTCTTTGAATAGGAATGTGCTTTATTTGACAAAAAAGACCTTCAGCAAAGACTAAATACACGAAAGGATACTTACTACACTGCTTGGCCAAGAGACGTGAATCAAAAGTTTTAACAAACCACAACAAACAAACAAACAAACAAACAAACAAACAAAACGAACATGTCTGGCAGAAAAGTCGTAGTCGTGTTCGGAGCCACAGGCATGCAAGGTGGTTCAGTAGCGAGAGCTCTCGCCCGTTCTGGACAGTTTACAGTTCGAGGCGTCACGCGGGACTTGGAGAGTAAAAGAGCGCAAGACCTCGTGGCTGACGGGGTGGACCTTATGAACTATGACCTCAACGAGCGGTAAGGTCAACCCTTCTTTTTTATAAATGAATAGATAAATAAATGAATAGATAAATGAATAGATAAATTAATAAATAAATGAATGAATCAATAACTATATAAATGAATCAATAACTGTATGAATGAATGAATGAATGAATGAATGAATGAATGAATGAATGAATGAAAATTCTTTGTTTATTCTCACGTTGAAATTTGGGTCACAATGGTAAACACCCCCCCCCCTCCCCCATAAATACATTATTATCCATCTTCCTTTTTGTCCCAATACTTTAACTTTAGCACGAAATTTCTTTTGGGTTATCCTTGTCTTCGACTCTCATGAGTGTGGTTTGAATCTCTCTAATAAGGCGTTCTTTTAAACTTGGAATATTTATGGAGTTTATATACTGTACCTGTGAAGTTATTTTCTTCCCACTCGGCTTGTGTTTGTCTCAGAGATGACGACTGAATTAGATGTACCACTTAATACAAAATGTAGTACGATACAGTGTTTACAGGGGCATCATGATCGTACCAACCATGTTCATACCACATTCCACGGATTCTGCTTTTCAAAATATTTTTAAAAAAGCTTTTCGTGCCATAAGTAATAATATCACCATTTGAAGCGGACGGAGTTGATTTAATGAACTCTGACCTTCAAAGGCCCGATAAGCTGTCCCATCACCCTGTTTTCTCTTCTTTCTCATCTATTTGAATACTCTATATATCCTAATAAACACAAACAGAAAGTTTCAGAGGCAAAATAAGGAAAGAAGACGTTGATGACATTATTAATCCAATGGAAATACCATAAACGTACTTCTAAGCGTAAGTGTTTCTCTGTGTTCATTCATCGGGTTATTCATCTGGAAAGGGGAAATGGAGATTGTGGGGGGGGGGGCTGTGTTGCACATCTTGCTGTTGTTTTTCCCCAATCCTTGTAACCACACACACTCATACGCATACATAACAATACATACAACACACACAAAAGCGCGCGCAAACACATACACATTTACATACGCATTCATACACATACACCGCATTCACACCCACACTTTCACACATAAACACACAACAGGATACATGTACTCTTTCTCTCTTTCTCTCCCTCTCTCCTCGCTCGCTCTCTTTCTCCCCGCCCCCTCTCTCTCTCCCTCCCTCCTTCTCTCTCTCTCTTCC